GTTCAACCTTAAATGGTTAAAGAAATGCATTGGAAGAGAAGAAAGTTTTGGAGATTGGGAGACTTCGCAGAGGAAGAGAGCAAACGAACGAGGTGTGACGACTTTCATGACTACTAGTAGGGATGTGACTGCTGAGGCGATATCAGCGAGGGATGCGAGTAAAAAGTTAACTCAGCCATCACAGGATGATGACTATCTAACGATAATTCGACGAATTCCTCCTATTCTTCGAACCGATAAATAGTGTAACTTCAATATCTGTACTAATTTATTTCATCTAGTTTTTAAAAGAATCATAAAGTTATAATTTTCGATAGAAAATGTTGTTTTTCAGTGGATATTGGTATCCTACACTTCTAGGATTTAACAAAGTTGGGGAAATACATGACAATTTTTTAGACACCGAGTTTAATTAGAGATACTCTGAAATAGACATGAAGCTTGCGAACGGTTTTAAAGAATAGGAATCTCTTCGGAGTGTTCAAATGCGGAGGTTAATTGGATAAATAATTTATGGACGAACAAATTACAAAAACATTTTACCTCCAAAGTATTTCTCGACGTTTTTTGTGCGGGCCGTTAATGAATAATAGACTTTTAGACTGATCTAGCGGAGCAGCAGATATCTTACGTTTTATATATATTTAATTGATAAGAAGCATAAAAAAAAAAAACTTTATCTATACGTTCTATGGCAAGGATATGTTGATTGAAAAAAAGAATATACTAAAAAAATATATATATATTCCGATTAATTTTCTTTGAAATTCGAGATTTTTCTAAAAAAAAAAATTTTCTAAAAGAAATAAATTTCATGTATTTACTTATTTATATATGATTGATCGATTTATCTAATTAAAGACTATTACTGTGGTTTTTGAGTTTTCACTGTCGCTTAAAAAGGAATGGCAATATGTAAGTAATAAAAATTTATTACATTTTTGCAGGAATTATTTTTTTAAAAAAAAAAATTCTTGAATATATGCTATATACACAGTATATTAAATAATGCATTAATAGCAAAAACAGTAACAAACGTAATTACTATAATTTTTAGTTGCAATAAGAATGATAATGAAGTTATTATT